GTTAATGCAATCATATTTCTGAACAGCTTCATAATGAAGGCGCTAGTAAAACTGGGAGTATCACATGAGTTCTGAAAAATCAGAAAAACACGCAGTTCTCAAGTTAACTCACTGGTATTTAACTGCATGCAATTGCTTAAAGGGACCCTAATTACAGAGCACTGTCAAAAGTAACAGTGAAAAAAACCCAGGGGTTTCTGGGCATGAAAAAAAATTATTAAAAAAAAATCTTGAATGCAGCATTCAGTTCAGTTGATTCAGTGAGCTTGATGCACTGAAGCTATGTGCACAGGTCCTGTACTGTTTATTTGGTTTAGGTTAAACCAGCTTTCAGAAAGTCAACTACGCATCAGTTAAATTGAAAAATCACAGTACATCCCTTCTATTGGTGATCACAGAGCTTTCTTGCGCAATTTCTACCACAGTTCAATGTTGCAATTCAATACTTAAAATATTAAGAATAAAATTTTGCCACCTTCTAGCAAAGTATTAGTCCTTCCTGCTTTTTAAAATATCAGATAATCTAGAGCCCTTACATAATTGCTAAACCAGGGGGGACACAAAGCATTAGCTAGAGTGCTACACAGATAATTTTTGTTTTATACAATAGTGGACACTGAGTCCATGCTACACAGATGCATTACAAAGAGAGATTCAACAAACTTCTAACAGCAGCACAAATAACTTCAACATCACTCGAGTTCTGCAGTCAGCTGTCCATTAATTTGGTGTACTTGTTCACATTAGTCAATCAGCTGGAGAGCTGAAAGCCAGAACACATAAAATTACGTACATATGCTCATAAATGCATATAAAAAGATCATTAGCTCTTTGGATAAATTCTTAATTTGACAAACCATTCTCAAGTGTTTCTGTACAGCTGAGACAACGTTTTTCTAGACCATATGCTGGGATAGATATTGCTATGTATTAGAGATTGATAATGGATTTTCTAATTAACCATAACGAGGGCTAGTTTTACTTCTGTTGTAACACAGTATTCTGCTCTATTATACTCAAAACTGACTACTGCAGATTACTAGTTCTATTTAAATGGAGACCATGCTTTTATATGTATAAAATGTACCACTTAAAGTAGTATGGTTAGATTTATATATGCCAGAGTTTCTTGCATGCCACATTTTTGCTAGAATTATCTTAAAGGCTACCTAAAGTCATTCTAAATTAACTTCCCTGCCTTTGTGTCTCTGACAGAAAGCAAGTTTATTTCTACATAATGACAAAAATTGCACTTGATGTATTGGTTAGTATTTAACTGCTAATGCAGCTTTTTGATCTACCAGATGTTGCTCCTATTATCTGAGATAGAGGAGGGGAGAGAGTATCTAAAACTTAGCTTGTATTGGAGTTACTGGAGCTTAATGGCACATTAGTACTTCTGCTCCTTCATGAACCTCAAACCTTCCTCCCCCCCCCAAAAAAATGAGTGTTGTAAATCAGTGTAGATGCATTATAACACATACAGTCAGATGCTTCCCAGACCTTTAAACAATGGCATTAACACAATCTCAGCTTTATGTATAGACACTAAAATTTATTTTACGAGTATTTGTTGAGAAGGCTGTCATCTGAACAGATACTTCTATGAACAGATACTAAATTCTTTTGACCACCTATTTGACTACTGCTAGAGACTAGCTCTCTAGGATTTGAGAACTGTCTGATAAATAAAGATGGAAAAGACTGATGAAGATTTATGTGTCTGCACTGAAGTCAGCAACACTCGTATTATTCACTAGCAGGGAAAAAATCCCTCTCCCTAAATGACTAATTTTCTAAGCTTAGCTATAAAGTAAACACCTTGTAATGGTTCTACATATTGTATCAGATGTGTTTTCTAGCAGGCAAGAACTGCACCTCCTGCACACTTCTGAGGATGAAAGCTTTCCAGAGGATGCAGAGAGGAGGCTTCTTCCTTAAAAGCATATCTCATACAAACAGAACTTGCAATAAGAGTTGAAGTTATGTATTGAGAAAATAACATTTAAAAATTCATTTTGTGGCCAAAACGATTAGTGTAATGCTGCGTTGAGTGACTGAAACACTGTCAAAGCCATGAAAATTTCAAATTCCATTAAATGCACAGCTGGATAAAGATTGTGAAATGAATTCCCTGCCAATCATTTTCTCTTTGAGTGTATTATACCTCCACTGACATAGTCTTACTGAGTTCAACCACTGTGTGGATTTTGAGTTCAAGTTACTCTGTTTGTTTCTAAGAATATACAATCTTTGGAAGATACAGGAAAATATGATCCAGGAAGACCTGATCATTTTTCTTTCTGTATAGGGTCACAAACTTGCTCTATGGAAGTGGGCGTAGTGGCAAAACACGTTAACATCCTTGGCGTTCTGTTATTCTGGAACAGCAAGTTGCAACAATTATATAAGTTGCTGAGGACTAAGGCACTTGTCTGAATTATGTGTATTGGGTGGAAATCATCTAAGTCATTTTTGGAAAAATCATGCATTGGAATTGGCAGTCTAACATTCTGTCAGAAGTTTGGCATGTCACTTGTTGGGAAAGCATCCACACCTAACAGATGTGAATTCTGAACATATTCTTGCATGATCCCAATTTTTCTCCCCGACCCTTAGGACTTCTGGCAATGTATTTTTACTTACATGGATAATCCCCTCATTGTGACAAAAGTGTTTCTGCAGCACAAATTAAAATTATGTAACAATTTTATTTTTTTTTTTAATAAGAAGTCCTCTAGTAACTGTCAGTGATGTTTTTACTCATGGTTTGTCAACTGTCAGATTTTTTTAAAATCTGAACATAGGTCATCCTGCTAAGTACTTCTGGTTGCCTTCTGCTATTTCCTAGTTTAACTTTCAGATTGAAAAGACCGTTACAGAGCATATGTATTTTTTCATAGGAACAAAAAATGGTTTTAGAAGTGTTGCTTTAAAAAACCACACTATAGTAGACCGTGTATACTATAGAGAGTCATAGGGGGTGTGGAGAATCTTTGATTCCCATCTTAGTGCTCTTTTGTATGTTACCCAGCAACACTTAAAAAACCTTCGTGTAGCAGACATGCAAGAATCAATTCTTATTTAAGACAAAGCCTGAATGACACAAAGCTGGCACAGATGCTCCCTTTTAACCTCTGATATCAGAACTGTAGCACAGGCACAGTCAGACTTTGATATGTCATAAAGCAGACAGAATGAAGTAGTTCTGCAGTAGCTCTAAATTATACTGGGAACTGCCAGCACAGGAAAGACATGGACCTGTTGGGAGCAGGTCCAGAGGAGGCCACAAAAATGATGAGAGGGCTGGAACATCTCTCCTATGAGGAAAGGCTGAGAGAGTTGGGCCTGTTCAGCCTGGAGAAGTAAAGGCTCTGGGGAGACCTTATTGCAGCCTTTCAGTATTGAAAGGGGGCCTGTAAGAAAGATGGGGACAAACTTTTAGCAAGGCCTGTTGGAACAGGACAAGGGGTAAGGGTTTTAAACTAAAAGAGGGTAGATTTAGACTGGATAGAAGGAAGAAATTTTTTACAGCGAGACTGGTGAAACACTGGCACAGGTTGCCCAGAGAGGTGATCGATCCTCTATCCCTGGAAACATTCAAGGTCAGGTTAGGCGGGGCTCTGAGCAGCCTGGTCTAGCTAAAGATGGCCCTGCTCATTGTAGGGGGGTTGGACTACATGATCTTTAAAGGTCCCTTCCAACCCAAACTATTCTCCGATTCTATATTCAGAATTGCTTTGGTTTTTGGCTGGCTTGGCATGAGAAAGAGAAGGATTCTTGAGTCGCCCTTCCTCACCTCTAGAGCCAAGCCTATAAGCAAGTAAAGGCTGAGTACCGCTGTTCTAAGTAGTCTCTCTTGTTTATCACTGCAGGGGGGAAGGGGGGACAAGGACCCAAACAAAAAACAAAACACCACCAACAAAAAACCCCAAAACCTAGAAGAGATAAAAGATTAAAAGGTCTCAACTTTTCAGCACACTTTTCTTGTCAACTTCATTATGACTCAAATCATAACATGCCTGCAAAAACTGTGCTCTCTTAGCCACCCAGCACTTTTGAAGATACCTATTAGATGCATCTTCTTTATGTCATTACATCAGAAATTTAGGTTTTTGTTCATTTACTACAATCTATTGCCAGAAAAAAACAATTGCTTAGGGTTTTAGGAGGCAGAAAACATTTTATTTAACTTACAACTGTATCATTCTAGAATAAGAACAACATAATACATGTCTAGTGCTAGTTAAACTGCTGTGGTTACAGCTGTGTTCAGAATAACTCCACAATAATTTTAGCGGTGAGGACTTCTGTGCAATGTAGATGCCATTTAATAATACGATACTTAAGAGAATTCCAGCTGTGCTCTGATCAGCCCCACTGCAAAACTGCAGTTGAACTTCCAACATAATTTACTTCATGTTGCAGTTACAGGGATACAGCAAAAGGACAGTGAGGCTGTCATGAAGGCTTCTGATTATAGATATAACTATAATAATTGTTTTTTATAAGATATCTGTGAATTTCTAATCAAGATTAAAGAAAAGCTCAAAATATTTAAAAAACCACCCTGTGGTTCAAAACAAATATATTACTAGTACTAAACAACAACAAAAAGAAACAGTAAAGACTTGTAAAAAGTGGGATTTTAGTTTTATTTCTGTTTCAAGACTTTTCAAGTTTCATTTGCTTTACATGACTTGTTGCACTTTCATCGGTAAGAGTAAACTAAAGTTGTTTTCATCCTAATAATCAATTCCACCCATAGTAATGGCATATTCCAGTGCTTTCTGTCATTCCTTTTGAGTACCATTACTATATATTCTCGGCACAAAAGAGTGTGTTATTGATTTAATTCATTCAGATTTTACACTAGACTGAAAAGAACCACACGTAGATGTTTAGTCAAAATGAAGAAAGCAGAATGTAAAAAGTCATCTTTAAAGCCTAAACCAAAAAATAACTTTATGCCAGGCACTGCCTACAAATGTAGGATGCAGGTATCATTTTAAAAAATTGGTAATATTTTTATAATTCTGCAGGTTTTAAAATAATTATGACACATTGGCTCTCTGAGGTATTACCCAGTTATGTCCTTTTGTCAGACTACCAATGAAGCTAGCATTATCTATTTACACATATTACAATGTGAAATTCAGGCACTTCTGCAATCAAGACTTACAAAGTCTTAGTAAAAAGAGCAAAAATCTTACCACCAACATCTATGAAGTGCTTTGCAGCTAAACCAGAACGTGGTGCTAGAAAACAAGAAATTTTTTGTAAGTATAATAATGTATTTTTTTAAAACTCTTACACAATGTTTATAGGTTAGATAGTGTATTTTCACATAGCCATGGCAGCAAGAACTGTTTCCACAGTCTTTCTAAAATAAACATGATTTTACAGGAACTACTGTAAGTGTTAATGTATATATTAAACAAAATAACAGCTGCTACAGGCTATAATAAAATTGCAATCTTTAAGTGATACAGGCATATCTTTGTTTAGACCACCAATTGCAGAGTAGGTTTCTCCAAGGAAGGTGGCTGGAGCAGACAATGACTATCTAATCCTGGTTTGTTTCCGGCAGCTACCACTGATTTGGAATAATCTCAAAAGACTGTTAGGTCAATCCATTTAAAGTTATGATGGAAAATACTATTTGGCAAGCAATTTACTAAGAAATATTATACACACTAAATAAAATGATGTGCAGGGTTGTTTTTTTTTTCCACTTACCTTAGCCTACTTTGAAGTGCTAAAACATTGCGCTCTCCAAAATTTTCTTTGCCTAGGATAAGAGAAATGCACATGCATTCTCCTTTTAGGTGAAAAGGCAAACTGATCTCCCTCTTCCATTGGAGTAGCTTTTTTTTTTTTTTTTTTTTTAAAAATTTATACATAATTCAGAAAAAGAAAGCACAAAACGTAACAAAATATGTTGTACAGGTTCTCTCAAGTATTCTGTCACAAAAAGTAGTCAAATTCTACTACGCTAGTACTCTTACTTCAGGGTTAATTTTTAAACATGCAGTGGTGTATTTTCTGTATATCCATTACCTATTTGTCTTTGCGATTCAAATTCTGAAACTGCAGAGAGATAATGAACTGTTGCATAGCCTATAAAGTTGTATGTAGATTATGAAATTTTTTGTTAATCATCTTTTTGTCATTTGACATACACCAAGCCTCAAATGTATTTGACAAGAAACATCTATTACAAGGTTTAATAAATCACATAGCCATGTGACACCTCTTTTTTTGTGTAGACTAATTCGGAAAGCTTTAGGCAGAACTTAAATGTGAAGATCACATTAAACCTGTTCCATAATGACTCTGCAGCCTTTTTTAGCCTGTTTACTTACCTACTCGGCCGTAGCATCCAGAAGGAAGTGCAATTTGAATGTCTGTTTTCACTACAGCCTTTTCCATGGGTGGTATCACACAGTCATAGGCACTACATTAAAGAAAGAAACACCAGTTTATATATTTTGAAAATTTTCTTCTCTATAACTTAACGTACAAAATTATCCAGAATTATTCCTGCTGGCCATTTACACCATGGAATTTATACAAGAAATATTTACAGTTTTGCAAAATCTAACTCAGATCCTAAAACACAAGATATTCCCATTTTGATGGTGCTAGCTTAATATTTCAGTAGTGTCATTTGAACAGCATAGTCTTAAGATTGCTAGTTTTAAGTGTTTTTTAACTCGTAAGATAGACAAAAAATACAAGTTAAAATTAACCATTAAGCGAATGGGCAATTTTTATCCAAAAGCATAAACTTTAAGGATAATACACTCTTCTGATTAAGCTTTCTACAGCAGATGAACTAGTTGTACTCAAAAATAATAATCTGTTAAGTTAAATTTTAGGCAACTTTTTTTTTCTGAGCAGGTCAGAAGCTCACAATTTACATGATTCTTTTGGGAACTGCAAACTAGAGAGATTTTAATAACTTTCTGAAGCTACTCAGCTGAAGGCTTAATGAAATGCAGTGGTGACAATACAACAGTGAGACTGTTCTACTTGTTTAAGGCAAGCACATCTTGGCCTTGACAAAGACCTGATTTTTAAACACTGGGAAGCTGTCGTAGTTTAACTTGGCAGCTGGCAACTACCCACTAGACAGCCACTCGCTCACCCCTCCCCTTTCCTCCCCCAGCAGGATGGGGAGGAGAAATGGACAAAAAGGAAACTGGTGGGTTGAGATAAAGACAGTTTAATACAACAACAAAGTAGATAAGAATATTGGTAATAATCAACATGCAAAACAAACTGTATACAACTCTTATCACCACCCGATGACCAATCTGTAGCCAGTCCCCGAGCAGAGATCATGGACCCTCTGGATTTTTGCAAGTATCATGAAATTCCCAAAAAAGGCCGAATTCCCAGAAAACTGAAAAGCCCCCAAGAGCTTTCTCCCCGGAGCCAACCCTCATTCATAAACCGAGTATGACACCTATGGTATGGAATATTGCCACTGGTCAGTTTTGCTGCCTGTCTGGCTATGCTCTCTCCCAGCTCCTGCATAGCTACATTGGCTGAATATAAGAAACTGGAAAAAGTCCTTGCTTTATAGCAACAACTGAAAACATCAGTGTTATCAACATTCTTCTCCTACTAAATCCAAAACACAGCAGCTACTGGGAGGAAAATTAACTCTATCCCAGCTGAAACCAGGACAGGAGCACTGAAAGGTTTTTTATGAAACAGACTTTTTTTCAGGTGTACAGTGAACCACTGGAACAAGAAAAAAAAACAGACCTGGTAAGACAAACAACAAATACAAAGGAAGCATTAAGTGCAGTGAAGCAAAGCTTCAGCAGG